AATGATCAGCCACTTGGAATAAGGTATTCACCATTTTCTCACTCTCCCCGATCCATTTCGAGAAAAGAATTGATGCCGACACGTTTATGAAAGTGGCATTCACTTTAGAGGCTATCCATCGTCCCAACATGGTCTTGCCGGTACCTCATAACAACAGGCATTCAACCTGGGGTGGGGTTAGAGCGATGGACATGCAATCGCGATAGAGGAACATACGGGAGTGTTATCCGAGTGTCTTCATCATTTCAAAACTTCAAACCAAGTCAGGTGTCCTTATATGTGACAACTCAGCCCCACCATTCATAGGAACCATTCGACGGATCATTCGGCTACCGGTGCCCTGAGACATGCTACCGGGTGGTCCAAAGAGAAGTATGCCTCTTGGTGGTCTTGTCAAAGGGGAAGTGAAAAGCTGCGGGAACTTCTGTGGCATTATCAGTACTTCGGTGATTGTTTGTTTTGCGAACTTCAAACCTGCCAATGGTACACTCATCATCTGCAGGTGATCGAAAGAGCTCACCAGCAATATCCTCATCTCGAATGATGTTGCCTTCAGAAGGGCTCACTCGCAGTGCCTCGATCGCCTCCACCATCTCAGGTTGCAAATGGTCCAGGGATGACTCTGATACAACCCACATCACTCCTACGGAAGTCTAGTTACCAACCTCTCATGCTGCCCTCATCAGTGTTACCCTCTCCTGATTTCGACCTAATCAACCGTGTAGACTCGAAGAGCTTCCTCCTCTCGATGCGTAGCAATTTACCCCTTATTCAGCTGCCCACCACCACCATGAGCTCTCCCTGTAATCACCCTCGATAGTATACTATCAGTAGCTTCTCCTTCTCTAGCCAATGACTTAGTCATATTCGATTCCTCACTTTCCACCGTCTCCCACTGCTGCCGTTTTGCACGAAGAACCTCACTCCTGGTGAGATGAAGCTCGGTGATAAGGGTTTCACAGATATCATCAATATCGATATCTTCAGTCGAAGGCTCCCTCGTCACCGACACCTGTAGAGAGGCTCTCACTCGAGACTTTACTTTACATAGTCCCCGTGGAGAATCGCAGCAGCACGAGTATCTCACAATTCGCTGCCACAAGAGCTTCTCTTGTTCAGCACGATCGCTCAAGTAGGTATTCTGGTCTATCCATCGACGCTTCATGACCCCTCTCAGATACTCAAGGTCAGCGGTAGACGCACACTGCGGCATACCTCCATACTCCAGCAAAGTGAGAGCCGACTGAGAGCGTATGCATCATGGTTGTAGCGAGTAGTTACTGCTTCCCTTGCCTCATGCACTTCCTAGTTGCTGATGCATCATCCTC